TGTCCCCACAAGAAGGTGCCTTCGCTTTCAAAGGTCTCTACGGGGCCTCCCCGGTGGCGCAGCGGTTGAGCGCTGGGTTGCGAAGCTGCCCGCAGCCTCTGCGGCGCCGGTTCGATCCCCGGCTGCTCCCCGGCCACCGGAGGAGGGTCCCACATGGCGCGCAGACCTCTCCTGCCGCCCGCTGCTCCCCTCAGCAGTGTACTTCGGTCCTTCTGCCTGCTCTGCTCCCCGCTCTGGCTCTGGTGAATTCTCTCACCCTCCCGCGCTTCTGACTGTACCCAGTGCTTGTATAAATAAATAAATAAATAAATCTTTAAAAAAAAAAAAAAAGATGACCATTGATTTAGGGATTAGTACAATCCCTATCAAAAGTCCAGTGTTTTTTCCTTGAAGAAAAGCACAAGCTGGGGCCTCCCCGGTGGCGCAGCGGTTGAGCGCTGGGTTGCGAAGCTGCCCGCAGCCTCGGCAGCGCCGGTTCGATCCCCGGCTACTCCCCGGCCACCAGAGGAGGGTCCCACTTGGCGCGCAGACCTCTCCTGCCGCCCGCTGCTCCCCTCAGCAGTGTACTTTGGTCCTTCTGCCTGCTCTGCTCCCCGCTCTGGCTCTGGTGAATTCTCTCACCCTCCCGCGCTTCTGACTGTACCCAGTGCTTGCATAAACAAAACAAACAAACAAACCAGCAAAACAAATAAATAAAGCATGCCTCTAAAAAAAAAAAAAAAAAAAAAAAAAAACAAAGGTCTCTACGTGCTTCTCTGAGCCTCCCCTTCAAGTGCCCCCACATCTCTGAGTACAAGTCAAGGCCAGAGAAGCGAAGGCCCCCAGAGCCCACTGCCCTCCGTGGTGTCAGGCCCCTCTGGGCCTCGGCTCCAGCGCGTCTGGGAGCCCCGGCGCTGGGTCGGCGCTGGGTCCGGCACACCGGGGCCTGCAGTCCGAGGCTAGGCAGGGCAGGGGAGGCGGCACCTCCCTGACAACCCCACGATGCTGCTTGGGGTTGTTGCCGGCAGTTCCGCCGGAGGCCAGGCCAACCGTTGCATTTGAGAATTCCCCCAGGCCGGGGAGCTGAGGACAGAGACGGATCCTCCCAGAGACAAGAGTTTTGTCAAGGTCACCGCTGGAAGCAAGGGGTGCCCCATGGCATTTCTGAGAAGCCACAGAACTGGTCCCCGGGGGGTGGGGAGCATCTCCCGCCCAGCCTCCCAGATCCGCCTGCCTGCACGGTGCCGAGAGCCCCCTGGGATTCCCGCCTCCACTCCTGGGGGCCAGCACCGAGCTGGAGGCAGAGAGCTCCCCCAGGAGACAGCAGAACACGCTTGGGCTCGAGGGGCCTCTGGGAAGAGCCCGCAGTTCCTCTGCCCCGACTCCCCTCCTGCCCGTGTGCCCCTCTCCAGGGCATCTGGGGCGCTCTGACAGGTGGGCCTCTGGTAATTTTAGTTCCGGAGGCACAAACCTCCCCGTGTTGGCAGCCCCGACTCCTGAGTTCAGAAATAAGTCCCTGGAGAATTTTCAGAGCAGATCCATGGAAAATTAATGGGGAGTCCTACACTCCTTGTGAAGATGCGGACGGGCAACAGGCCACGGCTGCAGCGGCGCGGGGGGACTTGGCAGATCAGGGACTGTCTAGAGGACCGTGCTATGCAGCCGGGCTAGAGATCGGTATGAACTGATGGAGACACGGGTGAACTGGGCAGTATTTGGTGTGGGGGCCACGAGGGAAGCAGCCCACGTGCTGTCAGGGAAAGCATGTTAAAAAAAAATCACAAAAGCTTGGAGAAATCCGACAGGGTAGGAGAATGGGTCACATTTGAGTACTGGGCACCTGCCTTTACCTGGCTTCTCCTATGCACATCTGTCCTTACCTGCCCTTACCTGCACACACCTGTCCTTTACCTGGGCTCCCCTGTACACACCTATCCATACATGGCCTCAACTGTGCACACCTGGGCTCCCCTGTACACACCTGTCCATACATGGCCTCAACTATGCATACCTGTCTTTACCTGGGCTCCCCTGTGCACACCTATCTTACCTGGCTTCTCCTGGGCACACCGGCCATTACCTGGCTTCTGTGCACAGCTGTCCTGACCTGGTCTCACCTGTGCATAACTGCGTGTCCCAGCTTGGGCCCCATGTCCTCGGGCAAGTCCCATCCCTTCTTGGACCTGTTTCCCCCAGCAAGCCGAGGACCCAGGCTGGGGGATCGCCATGTTGGCAGCCCAAGCACCTTCTCTGAAGAAGCGCTGAGGCTGTGCCCGGGGCTCCTCCCCGGGGGGAGGGCCAGGGCCGCTCTGCAGCCGAGCCTCTGGCTTCCTCTGAGCCGGGAAACAGTCCCGATGCTCCTCCAGGGCACAGCTGCCGTGTTTCCACCCCAAATGGCGCGGGCCCGATTCCAGTTCCCCGTGAAGGAGCTGCTCTTTCTGGAGGCGGCGGGTGCTCGGCGCACAGCGGGCAGCCAGAAATGCTGAGACGGATGCCTTGGGTGTTGCGGGAAAAAGCCGAGCTCTGCAGGTGGAACGCGTCTCCCCTTCTGCAAGCTCCTTCAGAGGTGTCGGGGACTCCAGGAAACAGCTACTGACACAAACACAGGGAATCTGAAATCAGGAAGCAGAAGGACTACCCCCTCTCGCAACCGAAAGTAAAACCTGCGCGGTTCCCGGTGCCGGGCCTAGGCCACCCGGGACCTCAGCAAGGAACCCCGCTGCGAAGGGCCCAACGGCCGGCCAGGGACGTGCGCCCCCAGGCCACTGCAGGGCAGAGCTGCTCCCACCCGACGGGCCTTCTCAGGGCACCGAGGGGCGCGGCGTCTGGGGTCCCAAGCGTTTCACTTGAGCTGGCAAAGACCTGAAGGACGCTGACGGAGCCACCACTCTCGGGGCAGAGCCTGGGGGGAGCCAGAGGCCGCCCAACATGCTGGAGGGTGGGTCCTTGCCCAGAGCTGCGGGCGCCAGCGCACCAGGGGGCGGGTGGGTGGCGGGTGTCCCCGGGGCGGGCAGGCTGGGGAGGCCTGGGCCCGAGAGCCCTTCTGGGCCCCGGCAGTGACTGGGCCCTGACCTCTGTGGGCCAGTGGGCAGGTGTTCTGGTGGCTGACTTTTTTGAGGGCTGGAGGTGGGGGGGTGGGGAGGGGGGATTGTCTTTAAATCAGGGAAGGGGTTTTGGGGGGTGGGATCTGGTTGGAAGGGTGATAGCTTGGGGCCGTGGGTGGGAGGCAAGGCCGGCTCATCACTGCAGGTGACATGCTTTACCTGTGGTCATGCAGGCCTGACGGGAGTTAAGGGGCGGAAGTTAAGGGGCGGTAAGGCACCCCGCCCCCCACCATCAGCCACTTGGGGTAAGAAAACCAGAGGCACTAGAACATTCTGACCCTCCGCCCACACCCTGGGGGAGCAGGGTCCCTGCGGAGATGAGCCTGCCAGGCCCTTCCAGGGCTTCACGCTCCTGTTCCCAGGTGGCTGTTGCTCCAGCGATTGCTGCTTTTATCCATTTAACAAATATTTCCAAGTCTCTGGCCTAGGGAAGCAGAGCAGAGAGAGACGTTGGCATCCGGCCACCCTTGGGGGTTCCCATATCTGCTCCTTGTAATAGTCAAGCCCCCGGTGTGACTTCTTTTTCACCCCAAGAGCTGCTCTTAAGGACTTCTTTGAAATGTGGGACAATTATGCAAGCGGGGAAAGTATCTAGAGCAAATATTTAACTTTGCTTCTGCTTTGGTGAAGTCACCGGCCCAGGCACATTTCCCCGGGGCAAGTCTGCTGGGGTCCCCTCGCAGGCCCCCTCCGCTCAAGACTCCACACACAGGCTGGGGTTGGGGGCCAGCAGCTCCCCGAGACCGGGACCAGCGGCTGGACGCTGGCACCCGCCCCCTGCAATGCAGGTCTTGGCGGCGGGACGCGGCCCCTCCTCCCAGACGCTGGGAAACTCGGGCACCAGAACCCCGGCCGCCCACCCGGGAACCAGCCTCCCGGGGGCGGACCCCAGTGGGCGCGCAGGGTCGCGAGGGCAGTTGGGCGCGCGCTGCCCAGGCCGGCAGGCGGGGCCTGAGAGGCGCCTCTGGACTTGGGGGAACTAGAGCCCAGGCCGCGTGCGCACAGGACCCCCGGTGTGCGGGGGCGCCTTTCCTCTCGGCCACCCGCCTCTTCTCTGTCGGGGCTGTCTGGGGGCCCGGCCCGCGGGCCCCGGGGGAGGCAGATGGCGGCGCGTGGCCGGGTAGAAAGTTTTCCTGCGCGCTGCAAACCTCCCGCGCGGTGGCCTCGGCGCTCCCGAGCCTGTTATCATGCGCCCTCCAGGGCGGGGGCCGGCGCGCTCAGGGAACGGCCGATCGGACGCCCCGGTTCTGCAAAATTGGGGACTTCGCGGCGGGAGGGGCGCCCCGGGCGCGCGCCTTCCCGGGGTGGCTGCCCCAGACCCGCCGCCGCGCGCGGGGCCCGCGGGCCGAGCAGGCCGGGCCGGGGAGCATCGGGGCCGCGCGCGTCCTCGGCGCCCCGCCCCCGCCGGCCCGGCCCCCGCGCCCCGCGCCCCGCGCCCCTCCGCGCGCAGGCGGGGCGCCGGCGCCCGCCCTCCCGGACACCCGAGCGGGGCCGCCCCCCGCCCCCCGCCCGCCGCCCGCCGCCCGCCGCCCGCCGCCCGCCGCCGAGCCAGGTGCGCGCGGACGCCGGCCCCGCCGGGCGCCGCCCCCTCGCCGCGCGGGCGGGAGCAGGTGCGCGCGGCGCGGGCGCGCGGGGCGGGGCGGGGCGCGGGGCGCGGGCCGGAGGACGGCAGGTGGCCCCGCGCGCCCCACCGCCTCGGGGCCGCCTCGGGCGCCCGGACCCGGACCCCGCCTGCCCGCGGTGAGCGAGCCCGGCCGGGGCGGGCGAGGGCGGCACGTGTCGGGGGGGCTTTCGCGGAGACGCCGCGCGCCCGCGGCCGCCGGGGCTGAGGCGCGGGGAGCCGGGCGGTGGGGACCCCGCGCCCCGCGCCCGCCCCCGCCCCCGCGCGCCTGCGCCTCCCGGGCCGCGCGCACGGACCCGCCGCCGCCGGTTCCGGGGCGCTCGCCCGGCTCTGGGGTGCTCGCCCGGCTCCGGGGCGCTCGCCCGGCTCCGGGGCGCTCTCCCGGGCTCGGCGGGCGGGCCGGGTCTGGGCGCCGCCTCGGAGGAGCGCGGGGCCGCCAGGGGGCGCGCGGGGCGGGGCGGGGCGGCGCGAGGTGCGGCTCCCCGGGGACCCCGCCGCGGCCGCCCCGCCGGCGCCGGCACCCGCAGCCCCGCGCAGGTCCGCGCGGCTGCAGCGCGGCTGGGCGCCCGGCGCAGGCCCGGGGGGCGCGGGCGGGGCGCGCGGGCGCTCGGGGTCCCCGCGGTCCCGCGTCCCAGCCGGTGCCGGGCCTGACCCCGCGCGCCGCGGCCGGGGCGGGGGTCCGGCTGGTGCCCGAGCGCCGCGCCCGCGCCGTGAATTATGCAGGAGCCGCCCGGCGCGCGGCTCAAGTTTCCTGGCAACTTTCGGGCTCGGCTCCTGCGGGGGCCGGGCGGCTCCGCCCCGCGCGCGCGGCCCATGCGCCTCGCCGGCGGCCGGGTGCGGGGCGCGTGCCCGGGGAGGCCCCGCGCGCTCCCCCTCCGAGCCGCGGCCGCCGGGCGCCCGGGCGACCCTCGCCGAGAGCCTCGCGGAGCCGCTTCGGGGGGAGCCGGACGGCGGGGACCCGGCACCCAGGTTCGCGGGGAGCGCGGGCGGGCCGGCGGGGCGCCTCTGCGGTCGCGGGGGGAGCGGAGCGCGCGGGACCCCGCTGCGGGGGCGCGAAGGTGCGGGGCCTCGGGGAGCCGCCGCTGGAGTTCGAGGGTGCGGGCCTCGGGGCACCTCTCGCCTGGGCTCGGGGGGGGTGCGGGCCGCAGGGGACTCGCCACCGGGGAAGAGGGTGCGGAGCCCGGGGGCTCCCCTGCGCTCCGTGGGTGCGGACTCTCGGGGCCCCTGTCCACCTGGCGGGGGGGGGGCAGGTGTGCGCCCTCGGGGCAGGTCAGGTCCGCGCGCCCACGCCGGGGATGGGGGGCCGGGGGCGTCCACGTCCACGGGCGAGGCTGGCGCTCCTGACCTTGGGTTCTGGCCGGAGCCTTTGAAGCGACCCTGGGCGTCTGGGTTGAGGGGGCCTCGGGGTTGAGGGGGCCTCGGGGGCCGGGGCTGCGGCCGGGGAGCCTGGGGCGCGGCCGTGGGCGCGGAGTCCTCCGGGGCCGCTGAAAATAAAGCGGTTTCCACGTGGAAACGGGGAGTTGTGCATTGGACGGTTCCCTGACCTCCTTTTTTGTTCGCAGCCCAGGCCCCAGCGTTAATGAGGTCGACCCACTAATTAAGTTACGCTCCCGTGGCAGAGGCGTGATTTGGGAGCCGGGCGGGGGTGGCGGCCCCTCTCCTCTGGGAGCTGGACCGCGCGCCTCCCCGGGCGCCTCTGGATTCCGGGGACCCGCCCTGGCTGTCCGCGTGAACCCACAGTTGGTGACAATGTTCTCTGCTGCGGCCGGCGCCCGGGCTTCGGGGTGTCCAGGGCACCCACGCTGCTCGCCAGGAAGGCGCCGAACCCGGTCTTCCCGGGGCTTGGTGCGCGCTGGAATTGAGCAGTGATAGGGGGTCAGGGGGCGGCTCCCTGAGGGGTTCACAGGCGCCGCTGTGCCCAGAAGTCCCAGGACCCTCAAGGGAGCCCGAGGGAGACCCTGGTCCTCCTGGGAGTCGGGCTGTGCAGGGGCTGGGGCTGGCCCCCCACTTTACTCATAAGGAACCGATGGCGCCCCTGGGTGGAGACAAGAGTCCCCCAGGAATGAAGAGCTAGGAGGGCGCGGCCTCCCCGACCCCGGCGTGAGGCTGTCCTGGCGCCAGAAGGGCTCTCGCAGAGTAAGGGGCTGTGGCCTGGAGGGGCAGCCCTAGCCCCCCACCGCGGGGCTGTTCTGCCCCCGGTCCGAGGGCGGTTTGCTTTAGAAACTCCCCGTTCCTGTGCAGTGAGCTCCCCAAGGGCTCCTGTCACCTGTTTATCTGACAAGTGCTGGGGGGTGCAGGCCCCCACTGGCGTCTCGGGGTCTCCTGTGCGGGTGACTTGCCCCTCGCTGGTCGGGGAGAGGCCTCTGCGGGAGGAGCTGGGGGCCAGAGGCGAGGATGTCCGGGCAGCCACCGGGGCTGGGGGGCTCCGAGGTAGCGGGGCGTCTCTCAGGTCATCAGTGGCAGGAAGGGGGTGAAGCCGAGCCTGAGCCTCGGGAGCGCCCGGCTTCCACATCTGTGACCTGTGCGGTGTGTCCAGCCTTGTCATCGGGGGTGACGGGCTCACCCTAGTGGGGAGCAGCCTGGAGACGCTCAGGGCCAGTGTCCCCCCCTGCCCCGAAGACCCACAGGCTGAGGGTCCGGGTCAGGCCCCAGCCCGGGCCCCTCAATTCGCATCTCCCTGAACCCCAGCTTCCTGCTTTGTGACCTGGGGTCCTGCTCGGCTACAGCTGCTGGATTTGGAGCAGAGGCCCCTCCCCTGACCCCCCTGAGCCCCGCCGGCGGCCCGTGCAAATGGACTCCCCCACCTCTGCGTGGTCCCAGCGGGCAGCACTTAGGACTGGTCATTCTTCGGGTGACCCCCCAAGTCTGTTGATTCCACAGCTTTGCTAGAGGTGGGGTTGTGGACACCCCAGGTGAAGGCCAGCCCTTTCACCTTTCGCTCCTCGGCCCTCACCTGGCACCTGTGGAGGATGTGGAGGGGCCGGGCCGAGGGGCGCAGTCTGGGGCACCCTGGCCACTGCGCCGACTGCCCCCGGGACCTGCCGCCCTCTGAGGTCAGAGGGGATCTGGCCTTCCCATCTTCTCCCCGTGTTGCATAAAAATGAGCTCAGCAGGTCATCATTTCAGGGCCCACTGGGCCAGGAACTGTCCACAGCAGGGGGCCCCCACTTCCAGCTCCCAGGCTAGAGGGGTGATCCTTGGGCCCCCAACCCAGTCTGGGGGAGGAGGAGGGTAGGGAAGACCAGACCCTTCCTTTGCTTCGATTTCCCTGGGACGGAGCTGGCCCTGGACAGGACGGTGTCCCCAGAGAGCACCCCTAGTTCCCGTTCCTGCTGCCGGCAACACTTGGACTCGTGGTCTCCCCAAGTCCAGGAGGTGCTGTTGATGGTGCCGTTTGCCCAGAGGGAGCCTGAACCTTGGGGGTGAAGCCCCTGGCCCTGGCCACCCCGCTGGTGCTTGGGGTGCTGGGGCGGCACCCCCACAGCCCGGTCGGCACCCCACGCCGCAGCCTCCTGGCGCGCACACGGCCGGGGAACGTGTCTGGGGGAGGCGGTTCTTCAGGTTGTCGCGGGGCCGCGCCCAGGGCTCAGCCGTCCCCACGCAGCCGCCGTGTTTTCTCCTTGAAACCAGATGCAAAAGAGGTTTTGCCACGAGGCAGCGAAGGCCCCAGCAGCCCGCGGTGTGGCGGGGTCAGCGGCGGGGGCCCGCGAGGCGCGTGCCAGGGACGGGCACCCAGAGGCCAGTGGCTGGTGCTGTCGCCCCAGGGGGCAGTGAGGTCGGTTTGGGGGCACTGGGGTGGGTCCAGCAGGAGCTTTCCCCTCCTCAAGGGGGTTCCGGTCTTGAAGGGTGGGGAAGGCATGTCCACGCCCAGTGTGGGCAGAGCTGAGAGCCTGCCCGGGGCAGGCGTGGGCGAGCCAGGTCCCCTGCGGGTGTGCCCCATGGGCCGGCCGAGGCACCCGCCGCTTCCCGGGGGCGCCAGCCAGAAAAGCCTGCCGGGCGGCTGGGAGTCTGCCCTAGAGAGCAGGCGGGGCCCCGACGGACAGGGCTCCCTCCTGCACCCCAAGACTGGCTGCTCTCGTCAGTGTGGGGGAGGGCAGGGCCGGGCCTAATGACCCTGCCCGGCTCGAAGCTCGTCCTTGGAGGGCCGCCGAGCCCCTCTCCCGGACCCGGGGCCCAGGGGGCTGGGCGAGGGGCGTGCGGGGTGAATGTCGAAACCGCGGACTCCCGGCGCCGGGGGAGGGGTGAGGGACTCCTGGGCCACCCCCAGAAATTCCGACGCGGCCGCCCCTGGTGGCCATTTCCTTTAAGAGCGCGTTTCACGTCTCAGCCCCGACCGTGTGGTGGACGCGCAGGGTTCCCGCGGCGTTTCCACGCACCCGCAGCATCGAAACAGCCAGCAGCGCTGAAGGGATGGAGCCCCAAACTCCTCTGTCGCCCCCCACATGCTGCCCTCACGGCTTAGCCAGACTTGCCGGGTGTCCCTGAGCCGGGCGGATCCCGTGCCTGGGCTCGGTGTGGACAGGGACGTGGCGCCCCACGCCGGGAAGTGCTGGCATTTCACGTCCTCCTCCAGCTTCACGCGCACCCCCGGGGGGCAAAGCAGGGCACCCGCCTTCCTCCGCAGCCTCAGGGAGCCCCGAGGACCTTCTGTCCCTGGCGTTGTCCCGCGGCTCCCGCAGGCGTCTTCCCTTCCTGAGCTGCCCACGTGCTGGGCCGCTGCTGCCCTGCCAGGAAGCTGGACGTAAATTCACGTCAGACACTTGCGGGACCGAGAGTCGTTCAGCATTTAAAATCCCCCTCGGGGCCGGGAAGGTGGTTCCCTCCGACGCTGTGAGCGTGTCACAGGGTTGTAGAAACGGAAATGGAAACGTGACTGGAAAGGCCTTGGTGGCAGCGGTGCCCTCGACGGCCCTGGGTGAGTCCCTGGCTGGGCGCGGCCCCTCGTGGCGCCGGTCCAGGCTGCCCAGTCCGGAGGGGCAGAGGCTGGGGGGCGGCCAGCAGTGCCCCTCGGGAGGGACACCACAGCGGGCGGGATGCTCCAGCCTTAGCCTGCAGGTCCTGTGGTGGTTCACACGGGGCCGTGGGGACGGGGTTGCCATCTGCTCCCTGAGGGCCGGGCCCTTCCGGCCAACGGGTCCCGAAATCCTCCCCCGGCTGCTCAGGAGAAACCGGAACAGCACCCGAGTCCTGGGTGGCGAGGGCAGTGATGGGGGACGGGTCTGCACAGCTGGCAGCTGTCCCGGGGCTCTGATGGGCCCGAGGGGGTGACCGGGGAGAGGTCACGTGTCCTCACCAAGCCGTAGTCAGTCGGGGAGCGGGTGGTGAGCCTTTGGCCTTCCTGAAAATGCAGCCTGTGCCCTGGGGAGGAGGGTGCCCACCAGGTGCAGGGCGCTCCCGTGGGCCCTGCTGCCCCCCCAGCGCAGGGCACAGCCACTGCTGTCCAGGGGTTCCCTGCCCCCATTCCCCTGTCCTCCCCCTGCCTCCTGGCTTGTGTGCTCCTGGCCCGGTGCCCCAGGCTAACCTGTCTGGTCAGGAGGGGCAGGCCCAGGACGGGAGGAAGAAGCGGCCCCCAGGGGTGTTCGGAGAGTGGGAGCCCATGGCTGGACACCAGCGGCCTGTTCCCGCCCTCGTGGTTCCAGGGGCTGCCGGGCGGGGCCTGGCGGCGCTGCGGGCTCGGGGATGCGGGGTCCTGGGTGGTGGCACGTGAGCTGCCCCCGGAGATTATGCAGGAATGCTTGCCAGAGCCGGCGCCCGCCCGGGCTGGGTGGGGGCAGAGGGCCGGGTACCCGGTGACTTTCCGGAACGCAGAGGCCAAACAAAGCAGGGGAGGCATTCCTGGGCCGGTCTCGGCGAGGCTGGCGGGGCTGTTAATCATTCCCAGGCGCCAGGCCACCCAGACCAGCGTCTTGGCTCCCGGGAGGGCCCCAGCTTCCTGCGCCCCGGAGCAGCTGCGGGCTGAGGTGCGGGTCGGGTCGGGGGCGTCGCGCGGGGCTGCGGGAGCAGCCGGGGCCCCGCGCGCTCTGACCTGGTAGGAGACTGGCTGCCTCTGCGCCCTGTTCTGTCTGTTGCGGCTGCTGTTTCTGAGGCTCCCTGGGCTGTGGGGCCTGGACGCCCGTTCAGACTGGACTTAGGAGGTGCAGTTTGGGGGCACCCATGGTCGGTCCCATGGCTCACAGGCCAAGGCCGGGGAGGCAGCCGAGCCAGCCTGGGGAGGGCCAGAACCCTCCTGGGGTGGGGGCTCTTAGGCACGTTTCTGCCTTTCTCGCAGAGGGGGGTGCTTCAGCCCAAAGTGTCTCTAAGCTCCAGGCTGCCGGGTGGGGGCTGAGGGGCTGGGCCGCCTGCCCCAGACTCAGTTCCGCCCCAGAGCAGGCTCTGGGGGCTCTGCCGGCCGGCAAGCTGGGACCTCGGTGTCCACCTGCCTCTGCTGATCCTCCCGAGGGGAGGTGGGTCCCTGCAGTCCTAAGGGGCCCAGGGCCGACCCCTCTGCCCTGTCCTTGGTGGGGCGTCTCCATGAGGGTCCAGTGAGACCCCGAGGGCGTGTCCGCCGGTCTGAACGTGCTTGTCCCGACAGACGCGCCTCCTCCCCACCCCACCCCTGGGTGCCGTCGCGCCCGCCTGCTGAAGGCTGGTGGCCGAGCCAGGGCCCTGCCCGGCGGCTGCCCAGGCCGGTGCCCTGAGGCCTCCCCAGGTCACTCTTCCGCCACCCCCAGAGAGGCGCTGGGCAGCTCGGGCGCTCGCCTGCGGGCCTCAGGACCCCTGGCTGCGCCTGCAGAGGCTCCAGGCCCTCCAGAGCCGCGTGAGTTGCACCCTGGGCTCTTCGCCTCTTGACACCAAAAAGGAGGCTTGAAGGTGTCAGTGAGGGCACCTGGACACGACGATGGTGAACTCACTACACGTTCACGCGAATAGGACACGTTTACGGAAAACAGCTGTTTTCCAAAATTAAGAAGGAAAGACCCTGACCCCGGGCGGCAGCCCCCCTCCAGCCACCCCGAGAACGCTGGGCTCCCGCGTCCTCTTCTGCGTCCAGCTGCGCTCGCGGTGCCACGGTGGGCGGCTCCGGAACGCGCGGGGCGGCGGGAGGGGCGCGGGCGCAGAGGCGGCGGGCGTGGCTGTGATGGCGGACGTCAGCCCCGAGGCTGCGGCCGGGCCCGGAGCTCACCTCGGGACGCCTGGAAGAGGCAGGACCCAGGACGCACCCTGACCCGGGAAGCCCCGCGGGGATGTGAGGCTTAGCTGGGGGTTCCGGACGGCAGGGGGGAGCCCCCCCCAGGGCAGTCCTTGCCGTTGGAGTCCAGGGGTAGGGTCTGGCTCAGGACGGCTGCCCCTGGCAGCACCAGGGGTGGGGGTCGCCTCCGTAGTAGAGGTGAGACGTGTGTCTGCCACCCTGGAGCGATGGCAGCTGGGTAGCCAGGCTCCTCGGCAGCGCTGGCCCTGAATCCAGGGGCCAGCAAGGTGTCCACTTGGGGAGGGCAGGGCTGAGGGCTGGGCGGGGGCGGCGGGGCGGGCAGAGCTCACGGGCACAAGACTCTCGGTGGCTCTTGAGCAGGAGTGGAGCGGGTGGCCTCGCCCTGCGGCCTCCAGATGGGTGACCAGGCACCGGCAGGGCTCTCTGCGGCTGGTCTGGCCTGCTGCGTCAGGCTGCTGGCCAGGGGGGTGAGGCACGTCCCCGAGCTGGAGGGGAGGGCACCGCCCCTAGCTGTCCTGTCCCCGGGGCTTCAGAACTTCGTAGACGGCGAGTGGGGGACGGCCTGGCCCAGGGTCCTCTTCGATGAGGCGCGCGCCGGCAGCTGAGGGGACACAGGAGCCCCAGTGAGACCTGAGGGGAAGCTGGGCACGGGTCA